TAAAAGAAATGATGTAGCTTCCACGCTGGCACAGAAAGATGCCTGTGATGTATTCTATAGTTAAAAACAACATGTAGCAGTATTCAAATTGTATTGGTATATTTTAAAATATGTTTATTTACACATAAACCCATTTTCTACACAGCAGCCAAAGTTATTATTTCCAAATGTAAGTCAAAATGCTGTTACTGCTCTACACAAAGCCTCTGACTGGCTTCCTTCCTCCCTCAGATTCAGAGTTGGAGTCCTCACCCATTTCTGGTCCCCCCCGCCCCTGCCCCTGCCAAGCTCCAGGCCTCTGCTCCTGCTCTGACATCATGGCTCTGCCTCCCTCCCTCTGCTCTCATCTCCCTGGGCTTCCCTCCAGTTCCTCTTAGTGCTTCACTCGCTGGTCTCTTTGCCCAGAACTCTCCTCTTCTCCATGTCCCCATAGCTTGCTTCATCCTATCCTTTGCATTTCTGCTCAAATGACACTTTGCAATGAGACCTTCACTGAACACAGTCAGCATTTGGGGAAAATGTGTTCCTTTTCAGCCCTCACTTTGCCTGAGTACCTTCTATTGCACTCCCCAGCCAGCCTGCTCTCTGCACCTTGTCACCATCTGCTGCATGCTGTCTGTCTTCGTTCTGGGTTGGGTGCCTGTCTCTCCCTCCAGAACTGTAAACTTCATGAGGGCTGAGATTTTTTTACTTACATTTTTCATCGCTGGATTCTGGCACCTAAAGTGGTACCTGACACACAGGAAGAGCTTAGTAAATATTTATTGGGGGGCTGCATAAAATTTCATTTTCATATGTACATAAAAACAAATGAGAAAAAACACATAGCAAATTATAACACTGATCAATGCTGGGAACTGGCAGCTGTGAGGAAAACTTTCATCTTTACTATATGTATTTCTGTACCACTTGGAACATGTAGCACTTTAAAAATTAAAACTAAATTAAGGGGCTTGGGGTGTGGCTCAGTGGTAGAGCGCTTGCTTAGCATGTATGAGGCACCAGGTTTGATTCTTAGCACCGCATATAAATAAATAAAAAATAAAGGTCCATCAAAGACTAAGTAAAATAAAATAAAAATAAATAAATAAACTAAATTGAAATATCTTAACAGAAAAACAATAATTCCATTCCTCCTTCCAGGTCATTCAAAACATTTTTGGGGAGGCTTTAACATCATCATTTGAACATGTTGTCCAAGGGTTCGTATGTTGACATTTAATCTCCATTGTGACATACTAAGAGAGTGCAAAGTTAAACCAACTGAGACATTTAAAGGTGAGATCTTTGGGAAGTGACCAGCGTTAGATAAGTTGGAGCCCTCTGATGGAACTGGTGGATTTATAAGAGAGAAGGAGTAGTGCCAGCTATACAGAAGGCCAAGGCTCAGGAAAGAGATCAGAACACACACACACACACACACACACACACACACACACACACACACACACACACAAAATGCCATGTACCTGCTGGGTAAAAATCTTTTCTAATTAACACATTCAACCTTTCTTTGTATCTATTCCTTCCTCTAGCAGACAGAAGATAAAAAGGAATGTTAGTAATTCCTTATGCAAGAGGGGGAAAGTAGGGCTGATGAAATCTTCAACATTGCTTTCTGACAAGGTGGCAAAGATTTGATCTCATGTAGGCTACAAAATTCATCCAATTTTAGAGGGAGCTTGAGATAAGACACACTGTCTCTCTTAGGAACAAATCCAACCAAATTTAGTATGACAACCAAATTTAGCGTGGCATCTCAGGGGCACCTTCACACACCACAAGAGAGACAAAACGCTCTACAGTATCCTTCACAGGTTGTCATGATCATGAGGCCTCTGTTAACTCCTGCCCCTATCCTTGGTTTAGTTCCCAGAAGCATACCATACCCATGATAGTATTAGTAAGGGTCTCCCTGGAGAGTTGGTCCACCTGCCCTTTATAATAGTTTTCCTACATTCTTAACAGACCATGAAGGCTCCCTGGTGAGCCCACAGGCTTACCCCAACAGGAGAGTTAGTGGGGAGAGGGGTGCAGTTTAGTTCTGAGAGGTCAAGAAGAAGCCCAGCTTGCCCACCCCAAGTTTCTTCACTCACCCTAAAAAGTAGGGTGGCAAAGCCAACCTTCACCACTATTTTGGCTTGGAAACTGGAGCTCTTGGGATTTAAAATTAGAATAAATCAACCAGATGGGTTATATTTACTTTCTTTTTCTTCTTTCTTCTTAAAAGAATCAGCTGGAGTAAAAGAGATCTCTGGGAACCAGCCCCTTGTGAACAGTTACATTTGATTTTCACCAAGTTTTGGCAAAGGAACAGATTGGAGCTGTGGTGCTGTTGTTGACAGTTTGGCTGGGCTCAGCTTTGCTTATTCACAAACCCTAATTTATTACATCTTACCTAAGCTGCAGTTCTCAAGCCTCATGATTCTACTGACACTTTTTTAAATAAATATATATATATTTAGTTGTAGTTGGGCACAATACTTTTTTATTTATTTTTATGTGGTGCTGAGGATTGAACCCAGGGCCTTGCCCGTGCAAAGCAAGCGCTCTACTGCTGAGCCACAACCCCAGTCCCTATTGACAATTTCAGAAAGAATATCTATTTACTTTGAGGGGGCTGGCTATTGAACTCCACCTTATTTGGAACCAGAGCACAGACTTTAGAATTAGACCATCAATGAGATCTTCAGCAAGAGAAGAGCTTCAGACTGTTCACCTATTAAACCTGGCAGGGTTACTATGAGGATTAAATGAGATAATGCAGACACAGGGCTCAGTGTTGTGCTTGCTAATAGAACTCAATAAATTGCCATAATAAAGTGAGACTCCATTTTTCCCTATTTAAGACTTTTCAAGTAGAGTCTCCCCTGGAGACTGGCCTGGAACAGTCTCTGACAACAAAAACATTTTAAAACTGATCACACTGGAACCTTTTGCTAGATTTATCAGAAGAACTGAAAGTTTGTCAAAGTTAATCCTCAAACATATACACAGAGCAACAACATACCACAGAACTGACACCCCTAGGAGCCTTGTGCAGAAGCTCAGGACTCTCACAAGGCAGCAGGGTGGCCCTAGCTTTGCCTCTGTACAAGACTATGGACAGGAGTTTGATCCCTGCTATCAGCAATCAAGCCAGAGAGAAGTGCCTTCAGGAATTGATGACAGAATGGAGTATGAAAAAGGCTCTGGGGTGCCTCACACCCCAGTCCTGCCCGAGCCAGGGAACAGGGCTCTAAAAAATAAAAAGTACAAAGAAGATCCCTTGGGGATTTAAAGGGCAGCATCCTTCCTATAAATCCTGACTCTTTCTTTTTGTCCCTCAGTTCAGCAGTGACTTCAGTCCCCACCACAAGCCAGGCATGGTGCCAGGTGCCAGGGAAAGAGGTGAGCAGCACTCACTCAGCCCCCAGGGAGCCCCAGGTCTCGTAGGCAGGACAGCACCAGCATGACAGGTACCAGATGAGAAAGGGCTTCCAGAGTGTTCTATGAACCCAGAGAAGGAAGGATGGCCCAGACTCCCCACTGGTTACCTTTAGTGTTTACAGAGCTCATTGCAGTTCTGCAGGCAAGCATGTCCTGGGCTACTCACCGCATTGGTTTTCTACATGGCCCTGGCCCACTCCACAGGACTCTGCCTGCTGTTCTGATGTTCTGGGAGACTTTTTAGTCACATCAAGGTCCATGCCTGAGAGCTGAAGGTGAAACTGCTCCCTGTGGGCAGCCTTCCTGAGCGTGCGGATGGCCTTCCGTAGCCGCTTCTCTGTTCGCTTCACAATACAGCTCAGATCACAAGAAGCTGCAGAAACAAGGACAGCAACATGGGGGGAAGTCAGGCTGCAGTGTGTGAGGATGTCCAGACCGACTGCAGGGCCCACCAACACCCCGAGTTCCCTGTGGGCCAGAAAGGGCGAGACCTGGAGGTGGGCACCTAGCAGGCTGGGCAGCATTCAATTCAAACAGAAATTTATTGACCAAAACGATAGCTTTGGGTCTTTTTGAAGCAGAGAAAATCATCAGGTTCTAAACCAATTTGTGTAGTTTGGGGGTGAAAATAAAACAGGAGATACTTCAGTGTTTGCACTATTTTCCCCCCCAGGAATGATGAAAGGTAAAAGGTAAAGAAAGAAGGAGAAAGCTGTAAGAAGCCTGGCACCACAGACGGCTTTCAGACCAACCTGTCACCTCCTTTTGGTAAGTTTCACGCTCAAACTCAACAGTGATAAACATTTCCTTAGGGGTGCTTGATCGGCCAGGGGGTCCTGGGACTTGCTTGCCAGGGCTGCATGTAAGGTTTGCGTAGCGAAAGCTCTCTTTTACTGAGCTGTGCTTCTCTGTATGAAGAAACAAAATTATCGGGAGCCAAGTCCTGGCAAAGCACTCAGTTGAACATTCGCTAAAGCTCAGTAAACATTTCATTAAAACAACTCTCCAGGGACTACGTGATTAACTCCACATGGCGAGACGCTGAAAGCCCCCAGCTTGGAGCATGATGACATTTTCATCTTGAAGAGCCAGTATCGCCTCCTATATCACTTTACAATCTAGCTCTTGAAAATTCTTTTCATGGACAAATGCTGGGTGTGTCCGACTAGCCAGCCACATGTGTGGAAGAGGAGAACCAGGGGTCGTTTCACATCAAAACCCTGCTGATAGTTTGCTGAGATGTGCCCACATTCTCACAGTTGTTTTTTATGGGTTTTTTTTTTTTTGGTACTGGGGATGGAACCAGAGATGCTTAACCACGGAGCCACATCCCCAGTCCATTTTACTTTTTGACACAGGGTCTTGCTAAATTGCTTAGGGCCTTGCTAAATTGCCCAGGCTGGCTTCGAACTTGCCTCAGTCAGTCCTGAGTTGCTGGGATTACAGGTAGGTGCCACCATGCCTGGCTTCACAGTTGGTTTCCTTAAAACTGGACTGTGAGGGCCCCAGCAGAGGGAATTAGTGCAGGAGCAGAAGGGAAACCAACTTCTGCTTTCAGGCAAACTGACCCTGACATAATTCTAACCAGAAGAGAGAGCTGGAAAGCACATCAACAGTGATGTCTCATTTTTTATTTTTTTTTTCTGTTTTGTTTTTCTTTTTCTTTTTGTGGTACTAGGGATTGAACCCCAGGGCAGGGGAGGAGGGGTGCTCTACTACTGAGCTGCATCCCAGCCCTTTTTGTTTCTTATTGCTGCTCTGGCTGGCCTGGAACTTACATCCTCCCTGCCCCAGCCTCCTGAGTTGCTGAGTTCACAGGTATGTGCCACCACACCCAGCTTGATGTCTCATGTTTAAATAACCAGGGAAAATAAATGGCACAAAGAATCAACAGAACCAAACAATATCATGAAGGCATCTAGGATGACAGTGGAATTTTTGTATGACACCAGGATTTGCATATCTCTGTTCCTGACTTTGGCAGTCTCCCATCCCAGCGACTTCCAGTGAATCTGGTGATTAATGATTGCTAACTGGAATCAAAGAGCAAGCAGGTCCACATAGCCACATGATTAATTTGGCTCTATTTTAAAATGCTATTTTATTGAACTGAAGAATTATCTTTGTATTCTTCTTTAACATTACAAGTATATTCAAAACAACAGCTCATCGAGAGCCAAAAGAAAGAGATAAATTTATTTCTTCTCTATATTTTCCACTAAAAGATATTTTACCTTTTCATAAAGTTAACTTAAAATTGTAAACTAAAAAGATATTCATCTTGAAACTTTTTCCTTTCAATTTTCCCATATCTACTTTTTTTTAAAGCTTTTTATTTTGAAGTTCAGATTCCTAGAAAAGTTGCTAAGATAGTATTGAGAGTTCCCACATAACCTCTACTCAGTTTACCCTGCTAACATCTTACTTACCCTAACATCATATTTATCAAAACTAAGAAATTAGCATATGGGTATAGTCCATTAAGTAGACAACAGACCAAATATTTTTTCAATAATGCTTCCTTCTGGTAAAAATTGTGAATGATCACTAAGGAGCATATAAAAAATGTAGAAAAAATTAAAATCACTTGTCATCCTCTACCCAGATATAACCATTACTCACACAGTGATCTTTCTATTTTCCTTCCACTTCACTTTTTCATACAATTTAGATTGTATTAGATATATAGATGTTTCTGTCCCCCTTTTCCATCTTAGCATTATAACAAGGACATTTTCCTGCCATTAAACATTCTTTTAATACATATAGTTAACAGCTGCCTAATATTCCATAAAATAGAGGTACCAAAATTGATGTTGGTTAGTTACCAGCAGGTAGTCAAAGAAACTAGGGTAAGCTTTATGTTTGTGATTTTTTTTTTTTTTGAGGGTAGACTGGGGAAAGAAACCTCTTAATACATAAATCCTGATTTTTTTTTTTATCTCCAAAAGTGTTCTCTGAGATAATACAGAAAATGTGAGCTGAGGAAGAAAGAAGAGAAAGATGTTGCTTGTTTCAGTAAGGCCAATTATACTTAGATGGTATTTGTTCTGTTGAAACCAATGGAGTCACAGTTTCCAAAAAACAGAGCAGCAGGAATGCTGGATATTACATCTTTGTTCATCAAAGCTATCATTTCTGAGCCAACCCTTTTTTTTTTCAAATTTCTTTGGCTTACTCTTCAAGCAAACTCGAAGATCCAGAAAATTTAACCCAATGCAAACACACATTGCTAATTCATCTTAAGCCCTCATTGACTCCTTTGAACTCACAGGTTTTTCCTGAGCTTCATCAACTACTTTATGGAGGAAGCTCAGAAGTACAATCCCAAAAGGGTATAGGGGTGCTAAGCTAGGCTCTGCTCCCTCTGGTGACAAAAGTCCCTGGAGATGCTGAAGTTCAATCCCATCTGAAGTGCGCTTGAGTCAGCTGGACAGCTGTCTGCCCCTCAGACCTCCGGCTCAGGCATCACAGGCCCCTTTCCCAACACACCAGCCATCTGGTTCCATACCTGGTAGTGCTGGTCGCAGACCCTCGGGAAACAGCTCAGCCTTTTTCAAACTACACTTGCCTTCATTTAACTTAAAGGTTACACTTGTCCTGATGGTGGTGACATCTTCAGAAAGAAACAAGTGAGAGAAGTTACCTTCAAAGGCAAAGGAATGGAAACACCAGGTGGATGTTGGCGAGCTATCCATTGGCTGGCTGGTCCCACTGCATGGCACACCCTGAGCCCCCTCTCTCACCTGAGACCAAGAAAGGTTTGGATCATGGAATGCTCATTACCCTGGACTGGGGACACCTGGAGCTTTCTCGGTGTTACACTAATCCCCTCAGGGGAGAGATGAATGAATCCAATGTTCAAATATAACAAAGAAAGAGCCAAAAACAGCCTCCACGGTGAGATTAAAAGATGAGGCCGGGTGGGGGCTGTAGCTCAGTGGCAGAGTGCTTGCCTAGCACATGTGAGGCACAGGGTTTGATCTTTAGCACTGCATAAAAAAATAAACAAATAAAGGCATGATGTCCATCTTCAACTATAGAATTTTTTTTTTTTAAAGATGAGGCCAATTTTGTTCCTGTCTGATAATGAAGTCCAATTTCTCAGGCTCAAATCTGGATAAGACCATCTAAGGAGAGAGTGAAAGGAAGACTCTTCCATGTATGCCTGCCCTGAGAGGACAGGGCTGAGGCAGCTGCCAATCCAGACATTATTAGATTTCCAGGGCCTGGCAGGGAACACAGGTCCCACTCTAAGGGGCTTTGTGCAGAATTCTGGGGGCAGTCCCAGAATCAGTCTTCACCACACATTAGGCTCTGGAATCCATGACCTACATTCGGATTCTAGATCCTTGACTTGTGATAAGAACTTGAACAAGTTTTTATTTATTTTTTTTAATTGCTTTTATTTTTTAAATACATGATAGCAGAATGTATCACAATTCTTATTATATATTGAGCAAGTTTTTAATCTCCCTAAGCCTCAGTTTCTTCGTCTGTAAAATAGACACATTTAAGTACCTATGTTACCAGGCTGTGGTAAGGATTAAGTGTAATAATGCCAAAAAAAAGAGAAGTTATTTAATTGGCTGACTGCTACACAGTAAAAACTGAGTAGCTGTTGGCTATTTGCTTTCCCACCCTTGGGTAGCCTAAACCACCAAGGAATCATCACTGAGGAATTTGATGAAACATACCATGATGTCCACTCTGACTGGGTCCCAAACATCCAACAAATAGGTCAGTGAATGGAGCTGGAGTAATGGCTCAGTGGTAGAGGGCTTGCCTAGCATGCAAGAGGCAAAAACTCACAGGTTTTTCCTGAGCTTCATCAACTACTTTATGGAAGAAGCTCAGAAGTACAACCCCCAAAAGGTTTTGATTCTCAGCACCATGTATAAATCAATAAAGAAAGGTCCATTGACAACTTAAAAAAATTATATATATATATATATATATATGCATGTATATGTATGTATGTATGTATGGCAGTGAATGATAGTGCTTAAGATTCTGAACTCAGATTGCCCAGGTTCAAATCCTGGTTCTTCTGTTCCTTACTGGAATTTTATCTCTCTGAGCTTCAGTGCCTTGTCTGGTTAATGAGGATACTAATAAAATTGACTCAGAGGATTGTGGTATAGATTAAATCAGTTAATACATATAATTTAGTGGGCAGCACATTTTAACTACTTGATTACTGCACAGCTTGGGTATCTATCTTTGCCCATAAAGGTAATATGGACATCAAGATGTCATATGGGCCTCATTCAGATGTTCTTGTGACAGAGTGACAAATGTGCATACATCTGAGCAGATGAGGCCTAATGAAAACTCTGGATCTCAGTCTTTTGACAAACTGGAAAGGATTTGTCCTTTTGGGGACAGAATCCTTGCTCCATCTGTTCTGCCCAGGACTATCTCCATTAATGCCAGGTATCCAGGCACATTTCCTGCAGGGCCTCTGAGACATAGAGGGAATTTGGGAGACCTGAGTTTCCTAGTTCCAGAGCTCTGTGGGTCTCTGTCCAATATGTTGCCCCACCAGGGTTGAACACAGTGCTGCTGAGTACACAGTGAATGTTCAATAAGTATCTGTTACATGGGTGAGTCAGATTCGAGGTACTAAGGCTGCAGACAAAAACATCCTGCAAATGCTCAAGCCTTGAGATTAAGAAAGAAAAAAACAAATCCAATGCCCAAGAACCGCACCCTTGCATAAAGGCCACTGAACACAAGCCCCAAGAAAATACGTAGATTTGGTAATTACCCCCAAAAGCAGAGTCATTTGATTTTTGCTGTTTGCTCCTGAGAGGAGAAGAAGAGCCGCAGGTGACAGAATAGGCCTCTTGCAGTCCTGACAGACAGAATATGAATTGTCAAATGCATAAGCAAGGTTACTATGGGCTATCCTGATGGCAGCTAAAATCACCCCCACCCCACTCTTATTTGTTTCACTAGAAAAACACCCAGCATATGGGGCCTGAAAGCATGGGCCTCTGGTGGTCAAAAGTATCTGGTCAAGGACCTGAAAGGCCTTTGAGGGCTTCCAGCACCTACAGGCCAGGAAGACCTGGCCCTGGTATGAGGATCTGCCCCTGGGGACCAAACTCACTCACCTGAAGAGAGGTGAATGCCAGAGTGACATCTTAGGAAGCACCTGTCTCCTCCACCACTCTTCCCACAATGCAGGGACACATGAGGTGACACACTAGTGGACAGGAACCCCTTCACTTCTAAACAGGACAAAACACAGACACTTACAGAAAGAGAAGGACATTTCTAAGTGTGACAAGGATAGCTGAATCCCATGCACCAAAGGCCCCAAGTAAAGAAAGTCAAGCTGATGCCCACACAGAACACAGACACAGGCCCCACTTCCCACCAAGGTCAAGGAGTCCCTCCCTGGTGTGCAATTTTTTTCATGCAGAAGAGCAACCAGGGAAACAGAAGTAAGTTCCAACCTACGCAGAAGCACAGAAGGAAACACCAAAGAGCCTGAAAAGTATCTCCTGTTTTTGGACTATTTAAAGACTGGCTGCTGCTGCGAAGGGGAGAAAATCTTATGGAGAAGGTCAGGTGCTCTGGATCCAGAGGACATGGAGCACGCAGAGCCTCCCACCTCTGGGCCATCAGTGAGCCCCACTGGCTATGTCTGCTCTGTGGCCGGTGCCCCTTACCCACACAGTCCTTTTTATTCCAGTGGAGCTTGTACCCGGGATGGCACTGGCATTCATAGCTGCCCACTGTGTTTGCACAGACCTGCTGACAGCCTCCGTTGTTGATGCTGCACTCGTTGGTGTCTGTGGAACAAGATGCTCCCCTGTCACAGCAGCATGTCACTGAATGGGCTGACCCTATCCTTCCCGTGAGGAAGGAGCAGCTGCAACTTCACATGGTTGAAAGTCACCAAACAAAGGAAAGATGCTGACCGCCTTCAAGCTTGGCACCCACTGACCACATGCCCCAAATTTCCCATTGGCATGAGCCTTACTAGGGGAGGTCTCAAGTTCCTCTGTTCACTGAACCATTGTCCAGTTAGAAAACCTCAGAAGGGACCACACTCTGCTTTCAGATGTTCAAACTTGGACACCCCACAGGCTTCTAATTTAAAACTCCATCATATTCTGTGTTGAACATCAAGGGAGTCAGAATTCAGACTCCTATTTGATTGTTGCCTCAGTTGAGGTACAGAAAACAGAAGTGGCATACACTGACTCGTGTCAACACGAGACTAAGTCCCATCAGAAGGAGGCCCCAGATTCACTTCCTTATTTAGGGTACATTTTGTTGGTGTTTCTTGGCAAACTCAGTAGCTATACAGTTAGGCATATCAAGAAGACAACATGATCCATTCTTCTTAAGCACAGGAAAGAAAGACTAGGCAGCAAGTATTCAGGCCAGTGGTTCCCAAGTCCTGCAGATTCTCAGAATCACCTTGAAATCTGAATCTGTGTTCTCAAAGATTGCTTGGTGAATCTGATGGCCAGGGGAATGGAATGGGAGTCAGTTGGTGCTGAATCTGATTTAGACTATAGTCTGCTTGACTACAAGGTTATGAGACTATGTTGCTAAATGAGAACAGAATGGAGAGAGAAATACAATGGTTCCACTTGCAGTTCAAAGACCTAACTATGGGGCTTGGACTAAGGTTTTGCAGCCAGTGCCTCTGCACAGCAGGAATTGGTTGGTGTCCTGCCAAGCCTCTTTGAGGACTGCAACTTTACTGTCTGATGTGAAGTTCCAGTGGACAGGGTCGCAGCTCCTGAGAGACCCTCCTATTCTCTGAATACAACCACAAGTCAATAAAGTCAAGGAAGAATCAATCCACGGCTGAAAGAGCTCAGTTTCTCTCTCTGCCTCACTTCACACCAGACATGTTAAAAGGATAAATGTGGACAGGTTCTCTTTCAGTAAATGCTTCCCTTAAGATGATGGACCTGTTGCAATTGTGCAGGGACTATGATATACCTTTTACCCCTACTGTAGGAAAATAAACCTTGGAGATGAGCCCTGCTCCCCACCCCCAGGCCCAACCTCACCCCATCTCCCAAGCCTAGAGGACCAGTCCACTCACCTCCACAGTGGGTGAAGCCATAGAGAGTGTACCCTTTGTTGCAAGCACAAGCAAATGTGCCAGGGTGGTTAATACAGCTGTGGTCACAGGTCCTATCCAAAGAGCACTCATCCACATCTGTAATTGCCAAAGGGAGAGGGCTGATGAAATCAGCTCTGACAAATGAGGGGAGAGGTTTATAATAAACACCAGTTGCTGAGCAAGAACCCAAACAACACACGGTGGTGGGGGAGATTTACTATTCATCCTCCTCTCTCGTTTGTGTCAAAGAAAGAATTGAGCACCTCACCATAGGTCTGCTCACTGCCAGGATCCTTATTTCCAAATTCTGTTGCAAACTGCACATACCTTTAGGTTTAATTTGTCTCTTTCACCTATACTTCTTTGCAGGGATAAGTAATTAAAATTATGTAAATGAAATCACATGAGATAACATATCTAAAAAAGATTTTTGTAAACTATGATACTAGCTATACATTATTATTGTTATATTACTATTGGTAAAATAGCACCAGTAACTTTATAAGCTATGGTGAAATAAACAAAGGAAACCCTTGTGTTGGAAGTAAATCTGGTTCTCCTCTCTTTCTGATCTCCCCAGAATTAGTCTTCAGATTAACCAAAAAGCCAGTTAATCCTGGGTTTTAAAGCCCTCTGCACTAAAAGAATGTATCAACATTAATAACCTCAGTAGTTTTCTATGGCAGACATGGAAATTAGGTGGTTAAACTCTAAACTGGATCTGCTTGACCAGTCCATTGGTTTTGTTCCTCCCCCATAGTCCAGCACCATGTGTCTCCTATCTTCCTGGTTCAGTGTGAATGCATCCTTGGCTACGGATGGAGTCATGCACACTAGCCTCAGGAAACTGCATGTGTCTATCTAATCATCTCTTCTTGCATGGTCTGGCCCCCATGTCTTTCCTGTAGACTAGAATTTCAGTGCTTCACTCCCTCAAGTCTTTAGAGGGTTTTAAAGTTACAACTTATGTCTCCAAATGGATAAACCAGGATGAGTGCAGCACTTGGTGGAAGCTAACTAGACCATTGCTACACCACTTTTTCAACACTGAATGTGCCACAAGAAACTACATTAATAAAAAACAAACATTTGGATGGATCAGGAGGAATGAAAAAGTGAAATAAAAAAGGGCAAATTCTTGCAAAATATCTTCATTCCTAGCTTTTCCCAGAAATCCTGGCAATTTCTCCAGCAAATTTGTTCTGTGCAAATATTTATTCTAGTAAGACTGATCAGTGAAAAATGAGAAAAAGTCAGTTTCTTCCCTAGTAATTGATGCCACTCTATGAAATCTGTTATTAATATCAGCCAGTTACTGAGAAAGTGGACTCGTTCAGTAGCTGACTTTGGCAGCTCACTCTAGGCTTTCTCTTTGCCAAAAATAATGAGATCACTTTCCTAATTCCTTTTTAATGTGTTTACACAGCTTAAACAGTATTGCTTGCTCTATACATTATAAAACATTATGTGGAACAGCAAATTTGCTTTCCAAGTCAAACTGAAGAAAACCACACAATGATCATCTAGCACTAACTCACTGAATTTAAAGGAGAATATATTTGAACTGCCCGGCAAATTATGTATTAATAAAACCTAATTCACACCATACAGTTTTTTTTAAAAGATAATGTTACAACTTTGTTATACAGAGTGAAATCAGATCTTACCACTGAGCTACAGTCCTAGTCTTTTCTATTTTTTGTTTTGAGACGGGCTTGCTACATTATTGAGGCTGTCCTTGAACCTGGCAATCCTCTTGCCTCAGACTCTTGAGAAGCTGGGATTACAAACTTGTACCACCACACCTGGCCTGACTCTGATTTAATGCTGAGATTTATAACAAGCCAAAAAAGGCAGTCTTTATTCCCAGAAACACAGCAAGAACAAATGACAGCAGATCTTTTCTGAGAGTTTTTCCTGTATATTAATAGGACATAAAAGTGCTTATCTAAAACTATTTTTTTGAGAGAGAGAATTTTTTTAATATTAATTTATTTTTTTAGTTTTCGGCAGACACAACATCTTTGTATGTGGTGCTGAGGATCGAACCCAGGCCGCACGCATGCCAGGTGAGCGTGCTACCGCTTGAGCCACATCCCCAGCCCTGTTTATCTGAAACTATTAATGATAACATGCCCCAAGACAGCTTCCCATCACCCAAAACAATTGTTAATATAGGAATTATAGGAATTATAGAATTATTGGAAGAGACCAGCTGGTTCATGGTCTTGGTTATGAACCCATCTTTTGGCTAGGAAAGTGTGTTCTCTAATTCTACAGATTTTTGCTAAAAACCTTTTTGGCATCAGGTCAATAACATGAAAATAATTCTTAAAAAAAGGAAAATTATCCATATCTCAACACCCTGATGCAACACTGTTTGCATTGCATTTCATTCCATTTCAAGCAGTGAGTGCTGCTGTAGTCACATCAGGTGGATTCTTTGATTTTTTTTTTTCGTACCAGGGATTGAATCTAAGGGTGCTTAACCACTTAGCCACATCCCCAGTCCTTTTTATTTTTTATTTTGAGACAGGGTCTCGCTAGGTTGCTTATAGCCTTGCCAAGTTGCTGAGGCTGACTTTGAACCTGAGATTCTCCTGTCTCAGCCTCCAGAGCTGCTGAGATTACAGGTGTGTGCCACCATGCCCAGCTGAGATGTTCTAATCATTAATAACTTAATTTCCAAAATAGGGCTGGGGATGTGGCTCAAGCGGTAGCGCGCTCGCCTGGCATGCGTGCGGCCCAGGTTCGATCCTCAGCACCACATACAAACAAAGATGTTGTGTCCACTGAAAACTGAAATATAGATATTAAAATTCTCTCTCTCTCTCTCTCTCTCTCCCTCTAAAAAAAAATTTCCAAAATATACCTGTGAGCTACATTCCTGCTTTTATTCTACCTAAAAGATGAAATATAAGTGAAGGCCAAGTTAGAAGTTGGATTAGTGACTCTTATCAGGAAACCAGTTGAGCCAGTGTCTACTGGGGAATGTGGGGTGGGGGACAGAGGGGTGGGTAACATCTTCTCTGTTCCAACCAGAGGACTATTGCAGAGCACTGCTACATTTTCAGCACATACCTTGGCAAGACTTCTCATCTGTTAATAATTTAAATCCTTTTGTGCAGCTACAATCAAAACTGCCCACAGTATTTTTGCAGAAGTGATCACAACCTCCATTTCGGATCTGGCACTCATCAATATCTGTAACAGACAAGCAACAGCAAATCAGAGAGCAAAATTGCCTTGCTTCCCACAAATCCCCCAAGTGCTATTGTGTGTGCTCATTATTCTCTGAAATAAAAACAGACCCTGAAAAGCATTTAAAAATGTTTGCTAATGTTTTTAATCTTACATGTTTTCTTGTCTGGCTGAACCAGTTTTGAAAGACAGTGTCTTTCAAATTGACTTCCAATGCCCTTAACAAGTATTAAGGAAACAAACAGTGGGAACGAGTAGTGATGCCCCATTCTATTTCCATGCTTGTAGTACTCTCTCAAGATAAGATATAGTTCCCATTAGTAAACATTCTATTCTAGATTAATGATTAAAGTTATAAGGGACTAGAGCATTTGTTTTGGCAAATTACACAATGATCAAATGGCCCCAACGTTTTTAAATGATTCCTGATACTCAATCTTATCTATTCTCAGTTTCATCTCATATCTATTTTTTATCATGCTAAAGAACTAATCCTTTGTACTCTTGCCTGTGAAATACTAGCAAGTTAATGGAATCTGTCTTCATCAGTATAAGTTAATGGTACAGTTATTCATTAAGTTCTCTGGATAACAATCTTGACTGTTATTTACATAATAATCTTGAGGCTATTATTTATGATAGGTTGATATTATCTCCTGCCAATGAAAGTTTCCTTGAACTGACTTTTTCTAATAAGGCCACTGCCTGCAATGGATTATTTGATCCTTGTAGAGCTGACCTTCTCAACAGTTAGTATAATTAAGTTGATTTTAATTAAGCTTACTCAATTATAACCGTCCACTAGCCCAGAGAAGAAAAGCTCACATCAATATGAATCATAAGCAAATCTGGAGTCATTCGAAGGTCATAGAGGGAAAGCACTGGTTCTATTGTACACATCAGCAGTACGGGACCCTCTCCAGAAGAGGGTGTCCAGACCCTCCACCCCCATAGGTGAAGACTACCTTTACATGTCTTCCCATCCAACTGGAGAGTGAATCCCACTGGACAACTGCAGTGAACACCTGTTGAAGTATCCTTGCAGGTGCGATCACAGCCTCCATTGTTGACAGCACATGTTTCTGACAAGGAGGTAGAAAAGGCAGTTAGCTTCCCAAAGAAATGTTGATATGGTTGTTAATGTTTGACAAAGCTTGTGAAAGCCAGAAAGCATGATGGAATGGTTAGTCACACCTTAAGTCTCTGCCACATGCAGTTAAGATAGAGGGAAAGCGGGTGCAGCTTCCACCCATCTAAATGGGGTATATTTCTGGAGGAAGAGTGTCAGGATGACCAGAGTTAGGGTAAAAATGTCTCCTAACCTACAGAACCATTCCCCACTCCATGTAGACTTAAAGTCACTAACAATTCCTGATGTCTGGGTACGGTGGCACATGCCTGTAATCCCAGCAGCTAGGAGGCTGAGGTAGGATTGCAAGTTTAAGGCCAGCTGGAGCAACTTGGCAAGAAAAAAATTAAAAAAAAAATAAATAAAAGGAACTGGAGATTTAACTCACTGGTAAAAA